TTGGGAAGTAGAGGTGATGGTCTGCTCAGAAAATATCACCTTCTCCACTTGGCTTATAGAGCCATGCATGTGAAAGCACAGCCCGGTTCTTCACTCCTCTCCAGGAAACAGGAACCTAAAATGAAGGAAGTTTATAACATCTGGATTACCATTCTGCAAGGACAGCTACAGGAAAATTGCTGGGCAATAACCTTTCTGGGAAAACATCTTCCCTTCCCTCAAGCATTTGTCTCACTCTTCTTCCACTGGAGAGTCAGTCTGAATTTTCTCCTCTAGATTATCTGAAAAACATCCTATGAAATCCCCTCCAAAGTTGCACTGAAGCTACAAATGAAACTTAAAAGTTAACACCTTATGTAAGAGTCAATGAAGAGGGATTCTGAGGGGGCAGACCAGATTCCCTAAAGAGACAAAGGATGAACCAGAAAACTACCATCCAGAACACAAAGAAATTCAACCTGAAAACTCCAGCTTCCTCCAAACCCAACTGCTAGAAAAACCCTTGGTTACAGACAAATTAACCTGTAATCTGGGGGAAAAAATGCTTTTGTGACAGTCCAGCCTGCCTACACGTATTAACCTATTCATCAGGAAGGATGTTACTCCCAGGCTGTCCTACTTGCAATGCTAAAAAAAAAAAAAAATTTAAAAAAAAAAAATCATTATCTCCCAGAGACACTACAGACCAAGCAAATGCATCAGCCTCTGCCATCTGTTACTGGCTTTTCCCCATGTCCTTTGAGACTTGCAAAAGCAAAGTGTGTTTAAGTTAAAGTCAAGAAGGATCAACTTCTCTTCACCAAAGTTTACAAAGTGTCTAGAAGTGAAGGAGTGACCCCAACCTGAAGTTAAACTGAAGGGCTCGATACTCCACAGCCTCTCTGGGCAGTAAATGAGTACAACTTCAAAAGTTGTAACCACATCACACACCAGTGACTCTTGCCAAAGGGCTCCTTTGCCTCTGGATTAATGAGGCAGTGAAGTGACCATAACATTTGAGGGATTACAGAAAATCTGAATTAAAAATGGAAGAAATGTGGCTAGCTGTTACCAGCATTCCAGTTAAAAATAAGTCTTTGCCTTCCTGTCAAATATCCACTGATGAAAAACCAAGTATAAACATTACTAACTAGCATGATGTGCAAGAAATGAGTTTGGAGTTAACACTACAACCAGGCTCTTCCTCAAAGTTGGGAACTCATTCTCATTTTGGCACACTGCCTCGCCTTCCTTTGCTTCCCTCACCAGAACACAAGCATGGCAAGAGAAGCACTGTGTGTAGGTACAAGCAAAGTTAAAGGGAGAACTGGATGAGCTGGGACAGTAAAAACACCTCTGCTGGCCCAGTAAATTGTCACAGGTAACTGCAAAGGTTGCAAAAGAATAATTTCCAAGTTGGCCAGATATTGCCAAGCAAGGCCTGACTGCTGCCTTTGATTTTCCTGTGGCAGAATCCAGAAGAGATAAGTGGATGTTCTAGGGCACCTGGTAGTCATCAGGAGTAAGTGGCCCCATGCAGTATGCCAAGATATTCCCATAAAGTTATGAGCAGCATTGTTCCCTGCAGGAGATGCCTGTAAAAATAATTTAAAATGTTTGGGGCATACTTGTGGTCCTTCTCCATTCTTTCTGGTTTTGTTCTAAGTGTTTTTTGGGGGGACACAGGACAGATTTCATGTGAGTCTCTGCAAAAATCCTGTATTTACCATTATTTTTTCACTAGACAAATATATACACGGCACAAATACTGGGAAAATCTGCTATCAAGTAACTGAAACCAAACATTGCCCCATGACCAAATACAGAGAAGCACTGCCCTAAAATACATACACACACTTCAACGCAGCCTTTTTAATTGCACAGGAACTCTGATATTTTAGTGGCAGCAAACAAATTGCATTTAAAAGCTGCTCCATTAAAAAAAAAAAAGAAAAAAAAAAAAAAACAAAGTGAGCAAATCCTTTAAGAAAAAAGAGAAAAAAGCAAAGTCTATTTTTATGTGGTAGAGTTCTAAGGCGTTGCCCCAACCTGCCTTGAAGAATCAGATCTACATGAGACACTGAAACAAAAACCCATGGCAGGCAGCAGTAACTGGCCCTGCTTCCCCCCCAGATACAAAACCAAGATGTCCCTGCATTTTATACCAGAAAAGCCTTCCCTGAAATAGCAGAGCCCAACCTCCCGGGGAGCCTCAGCTGACATCAGGTGACACATCGGGTTTGGTGACAAGCTCCACATCACCTCGGTGTTCAGAGGCTGCCGGGGCTGCAGAAAGGCTGCCCGGGGCTAGGGCAGCTCTGCTGGGAAGGGCTGGCTCAGCTCCTCCAGACACAACCAACAGCAAACCTTTCTATTTATACCTGCCTGGCAAACAAGGAGGGGATTGTGCAAGGGCAGGTTTACACAGGGCACATGACTGCTGGGCTATCAAAGCACCAGCTTCGTTATGTGACAGCCTCTAAACAGTCCAAGAAAACACAGATTTTATTTCTGTATCATCACAGCACTCTTTAGGTCAGAAAAGACCTCCAACATCAGCAAATCCGACCTGTGACCAATCACCACCTTGTCATCCAGGCCTGAGCACTTGCTGGTACAAGACACCTTCCACTCTTCTCTTAATTTAATCTGCAGCAGTGGGCTGCACCAGCCTGGCTTTTTTTTGTTTGTTTGTTTGTTTTTTTTTAGAAACCACATTCATAGCAGAACAAGCTTGCAAACTACAGAACAGTCCAGTTATCTGCTTTATCCATATCCTCAAGAAAAGTCAAGCCCAGCTAACTCTGCCTACAAATTTCCTGTCCCCACATGTTCTGACCACTGTTTGCTAGAGGAATGACACATTAACTTGAATCTGCCTTCCTTACAAGGTTTTAAGTCTATTTTAGGGTTTAGTTTCTAATTCAGCAAAAGTGGGGGAAATACTCAGTTAAAGAGAAACCGGGTCCTGCTTTAATAGCACACGCAGCTTTTCTCCTCCCTGCCTGGCCTCCAAGACAAGGAATAATCAGAGTGCACATCAGTAGTGCGGAGATGCCAGGACCTGTACACCCTGCTTTAATTCCTCCATGTCTCCCTTAAAGGGAAGATGCACAGAAGCTCTGTAAGTAGGTCAACCAAAAACCCTCACGGCCTGTAAGGCAGCCAAGTGACTCCATTAGGATCTGACAAGGCTGGCTGAATTTTTGCACAGTTAATTAGCAAGCTCGGCAGACTAAAACGGTGTTTCAGGCTGTCACAGCAAAATCTTCAGGAAAATCTGCATGGTAGGTGAGGCAATGAGCACTCATAACAGAGCCCTGGTGAAAAAAGACAGATGTTTATTTGTGTTAAAAGAGTCATTTCCTAAGGAAAAACAGGCCTGACTAGTCTCCTAGTGCCCTCAGCTGCATGCCATGCCTTTAACAGGTAGGCCAAGCTCATTGCTCTCATTGCTGAACTGGTTTCTCATTACAATTTCCCTAACCACACTAATGGGAAAGCTGGTGGATACTTCAAGGTGAAGCCTTTTCACTTTCAAAGCACAAGAAACTGCAATGATTTCAGCGATTTGGAAGTAGTCCCAGAAGGAGTGGCAACTGATGGCAGCTAATTCAGTGCAGAGCAGACTCAAAGGACACTAGGAAAGCACATAAACATGTAGAGTGAAAGCTGATATTTGCTTTCTTGCTTCCTGCCTGAAAAGTCTGAGACAACCCATTAAACTGTCCACACACCAGCATATTAAATATTATCAGTATATCTAGGGGAAAGTGTCCCTGTCCTCGGCAGAGGGTTGGAACTAGATGACCTTTAAGGCCCCTTCCAACCCAGGCCATTCTACGATTTTATTACATTAAAACAACAATAAAGTACAAGACTGACACAAAATCATGAAAAATGTCACAGGATTATTTACTGTACTGTGCCATCTGGTTACTCCTATGGTCTTTAAACAGCCAGTTGGGTTTTTTTTTTTTTTTCCCCACTAACTTTTGAAATACTGCAGGTTAAACTCATGAGCAAATAAGCTTTAATATTAAATAGTCTAACTTAGAAGAAAATTCTCAAAGTAACTGCCCATCACTGTGCAAGTCCTTACATTTTGGACTTTCTAGCTATTCCATCCCACAGCCTCAAGGTGTATTACCACTCGTCAGACTATGAATCATTTCTGTATGTCTGTCAAGCTTCTGCAACGTACAAAACACAAGCACTGCATGTCCTAACCTCGAACCCTACAGCTAAAGGGAGACGATCATCCACTCCCCCCATCACCTTCCCCTCAGCGACAACAGGTAACGAGACAGCGAGCAGCAAAACCAGTGGAATTTTCCACAGGGAGCAGGAGATCCTAATGCAAAAACACAACAGCAAAGGCAACCTCCTGCCATCTGCAAGAGGATTAGGAGCCGTCTATCCGTGCAGCGGCTGCTGGCAGGAGGAACAGCCGCTCCCGATGGTCGGAGCTGCCCGGCTGGGCTCGGACGTGGCTCCATCGGGAAGTCCTTCCCACCTCGCCGGGATTAGCCGCATCCCCGCCGGGATTCCCCCTTCCCCCTGCCTTGCCCTGCCGCTATTTTGGGCGTTTCTCCCCCCCTCAAACACAGGCTTCCCATCACTGCCGCCCCTTGAGACGCCCACTACCCGCACGCTCCCTCAGCCCGGGATGCGGGAATACCGACAGCGTTAGGACCGGCCTTCGCCCCCTCCGCGCTGCCCTCGTCCTGCGCAGGCTGGGCGCTCAGAGATCCTCTCCCCGACCCGCCGGGGCTAAGCTGGATGGGGAAGGGGCTCGGTAGGCGGAGGGCAGCGCTTACCGGCGGCCAGGAGCCCGAGGAGGCTGAGGAGGAGCCCGAGGATCAGCGGCCGCGCCATGGCTCCCGCTCCGCGCCCGTCTGCAATGCGGCGCCGCCGGCACCGCCCGCTCCCGCCCTTATATAGGGGCGGGCCGCGCACGCGCGCACGCCGCCCCGCCCCCCGCGCACGCGCAGTGGCGGGGCCAGAGCTGAGGGGGCTGAGGCTCCTGAGGGGGTGCGAAATGGCGGCTGCGAATTCGCTTTTAGCGGACGGAGCCGCGGCTCCTCAGCCCCCTGCCCTGCAAACTGCGCTGTCTGGTTGGGAAGAAATAAAGCCTTCAAGGCGGTTTTTGCTGCGCCCTGAGGCAGTGGGAGTCTCAAAGGGAGGAGCGCCCCATACAGATCAGCTATGCTGGCAGCATCTGATTGAGGCACACGCCAACATGGAGACATTGTGTTAAGGGGTTGGAATGCACCTTTTCCAATCCGCTGCCTTGCGCTTCCCACTAGACCAGGTTGGTCAAGGCTGTTTCCCACCTGGCTTCGAACAGCTCCAGGGATGTTCATCCACAAACCTCCCTGTGCAGGGTGTGCCAGCGCCTCAACCCCCTCACCGTAATAAACGTTTCCTCCTAATATCCAACCTAAATTACCTCTCCTTCAAATTGTACAGCTGCTGGTGAAGAGTCCCTCCCCAGCTTCCCTGTGGCCTCCTTCAGACAGCGGGATGTGCTGTGAGGTCTCTGCAGAGCCAGATCGTGTTGGTATGTGCCATCATGGTGCTTCCCTTCACAGGCTTCCCACCCTGCTTGGGGGCAATGGGAATGCTGCTTTCTCCTTGCTTTTGTCAGCCAGGTATCCCTGTGGTCCAAATAAACAGCCATCAAAAGTATAATTAAAACCAGCAGCCTGAATTCGCTTGCTGTCACCCAGCCTCTTACTCCTGCCTTGCCCCTTGCACTGATGCAGCTAACTGGAAAAACAAACTAAACCAGAGTGAAAAAAAAAAAAAAAAGCAAGCAGTGTCTTCCTGACTGGATCAGCAAACTGAACCAGCTCGGCTGAGGGACAGAGCAGATCCCTCGTGGGCTCCCCAGGACTGGGCAGAGCAGCCAGTCTTCTAAACCCACAAAAAAGCAACCCTCTTCTAAACCCACAGTCAAGGCCTGCTCCAGCTGCAAGAAGGGCCCTTGATAATGCTTCCCACAGCCTGGGGAGCTGGGCATCCCTGTGGCCTCAGCATAACACAAACTTATCCCATCTAAACAGCTTGGCCTCTGCCAGCTTACCCTGTCCTCTCTGGGACCTTCCAGGTACTGCGCTTCATCTGAGGGCACACATGGTTTTGCCTTATTAGGTCCTTACCTACATGTTCATTTTTCAAGGACCAGACTTGTTGATAACGTTCAAGGTTTACTTGCAGCATAAAGGCTAGGAGGAAGTGGATCTGTTACATTTCACTTTGCCAGCATAACACACTTTTCTCCTTTCCTTATAAGACCTTTTTAAAAGCCCAGCTAAGAAGCCCCAGTTCCTGTGATTCTCTTCACAAACCACGTCAGAACTTGATGCTTCCACAGGGCGTTTGCCCCTCCACAAGTGAGCACAGCTTCATTTGGAGCCTCTGGAGCCTCTGCTATCACCTCATCAGGAGCCAGGTTCTTAGGTAATTCCCAACCTGGAGCCAGGAGCACCCAGACTGAATCAGCAAGGCAGAAAGCCACCCCCAATTTTGGCCAGACTAAACAAGCGACCTTTACTCTGGCTCTAAAGCCGCCTTGCCTAGGCAGGGCTCAGTGCGCTGCCCTTATCTCATGAATGCACATAAAGTGTTGACGAGGCACCTCAACTTTCCAACCAGCAGCCAGCTACTAACCTGGGAAAACACACACCAAAAAAAAAGAGCTTTGTGAAGAATATTTAAAAGGAGGTTAAGTAAGACTGTCTGGAACAGGAGAGCTATTTCAGCAGGCAGGGTGTTTTTCTTCTGGAAGCTGAAGGATTGGGGGGGGAGGAAGGAGTAGCTTGGAGCTAGCAGGTTCTTCCTCCCCCAATCTGTTAGCATTTCAGGCTAGCCCAAGTTTTCCTGGAGCTTTGCCAATTCCCATTGATTTCGGACCTTTTTTTCTCTCTCCCAAGCACGTAGCATATAATATTTGGCATTAACAAATTGTCTCCATGACTTAGCTTTCCTGGTTTTGCCATACTAGTTTCCTCGCTTAAAAATTGAATTAAACAAAATAAAGCAGCATCAAGAGTTCAAGCACCAGCTCTCTGCTGTGAATGTTTGGAAGAGTGGGAAACTCCAAAGGATGTCTCATTCTCTTGGGACCAGGTCCAGGTCACCACCTTCTGCTTTTGCTGAGCTTCTGCTGAGATTTGAGGGTTTTTCTGCAGACAAACCTCCCAGATAAGGAACCAGATGAGGCTTCTCAGGAAGGATCGTGGCTTGTCTGTAGCAGCTGATATACAGCTGAGTCACTTGGCTGCGGCTGAGGGAGAAGGGAGCTTTCCCCAGCCTAAACTTGTTTTTTAGCCCCATTTTCTGGGAGGTGCGTGCTCCGTTTGGAGAAAGTGAGTAGGAAGAGCTCGGAAAGCTGCAGCCAAGTGAAGGACTTTTCTTCACACATGACTCACTTTCCAGCTGCCTCCCCTACCAACCAGTTGGACTGGGCCAGCACCAAAGCCCGGCTGCTTTTGATGCTCAGTTTTGTCGTGCCTACAGCACACAAATTCCTTCCACATCACCTCGCCCTCCTGGAGCCCAATTCTGTGCTTTGCATAAGTGGGGCACGTGAGGAATCCCTGTTTGGCAATCCCTGGAGGCCAGCCAGAGGCCCCTGCAGGCTCTGCTTTTGCAGCTGCAGCCAGCTCTGCAGGAGAAATGTTCTCTTTGCAAAAGAAAAAAACCAAAACAACTGAAATAAATAAAGAGAGGCATTTTCCACAGCAGCCTGCCTTTCAGACTCTTTTGCATTTCCACTCAGACTGCAGCAGGAGGAGGAGAAGAAGCAAAGCCAGCCACAAATTACAGCCTGGCAGCCTCGTGCAGAGCCTTGAGCACGTCTGAAGTTTATTCCAGCCCAAGAGCAGCCTCCCTGTGATTCAGCAAATGGTTTGGCTTGTGGGTCCTGCTGGAGTGGAGACAGACACCCACACACACCCACCCTTCCTCACCAGTGACTGACATTCTTCCCAGAGCAAAAAGCATCAGAGAATGTTCCAAATGGGATGGCAGTGCTGCAGGGACTGCATCCAAGGGCAGAGCTGCAGCTCAGCAGCACCAGCAGCAGCCAGGCCATGTGGGACCTGTCTCACTCCTCCTGGCACACACACACACACACAAAAGAAACAACCAAAAAAATACAACCCTTACCCACAGAAACAGATGATTCTTGACTGGATCAGGGGCCTGAATCAGCCCAGGGTGCAGAGAGCAGCACATGATGAGCCAGCTGGGCTGTAAGAGCAAGACTACATCAGCTTCAAACTGAAAGAGAGTAGTTTTAGGTGAGATATGAAGAAGAAATTCTTCCCTGTGAGGGTGGGGAGGCCCTGGCACAGGCTGCCCAGAGAGGCTGTGGCTGCCCCATCACTTCAAGTGTTCCAGGCCAGGTTGGACAGGGCTTGGAGCAACCCAGTCCAGTGGAAGGTGTCCCCACCCATGGCAGAGGTTTGGAACAAAATGGCCTTCAAGGTCCCTTCCAACCCAAACCATGCTGTGATTCTATGACCCTGCACATTTTCAGCCTCTCGGCCCCAGCATCAGCTCAAACAGCCTCACAGTGCCAAGCCCAGAGGCTGATCTGGCTTTAGGGGTGATCCCTTCCTCCCCCCAGGCAGTTTTCCGGTTCCTGGCCGAACTCCTGTGGCACAGCACGGGGTGAAAGCACCGAGAACCATCCCCCTGTGGCAGAGAACCATCCCCCTGTGGCAGAGAACCATCCCCCTGTGGCAGCTGTGCCAAGCAGAGCTCCCCATTAACACTGCCAAGGCCATGGGCTGCATTCCTTCCCACCTTCAGCTCAGCCACAACTTAATTATCAAAGGGGGTCAATCAAGCACAATGGATTTTCCAAGCAAAGCATAACATAAAACCTCAAATCACTGCAGCTAATTCTCATTTCAGTACTTTCTTTGTCAGCTGTCACAAGTTGTGCATTTTAGCCACAAGCTGTGTTTTGTTTCCAGGTTTCCTCAGCATTTTAGGTGCTGCTTACTAGGATTAGACTCCTATTTCAAGGCAAACCATATCCCAAGGCAACTGATACTCCAAACCAAGTAGATCAACACAAAGAGCATCAGCACCCATAAAGGCTTTGCCTTCATGAATTAGGATTTCTGAGCAGCAGCAAGATCTTGAACAGCAACAGGGTTGCCAGAAAAGCAGATGATTCCTCCTGAATACAAGGGAATCAACAGTGCAGCATCAACTCATCAGTGTTTTAAAGGATACGCACCTAGATGCAGAATTCTGTTCCTGCTCCCATTGTGTCATCTTGTCAGGGTCATAAGCAGTAAGATTGCAGCTAGATAAATCTCTGCCACAATCTTTGAAGAAGGGTTTCTTTTTATAAATGCAAAGTCATATGTTTCTCTAAATCCTATTTAACCCAACCCCCAAAAACTTTAGAACTATACATGTAGGTTATCCAGGAAGAAAACAAACAAAAATATATAATAGATTTTTAAATATATTTCAGTACAAATACATAAAACAAAAAATATAGAGAAAATAGGGGGCTGAGATCCTTTCATTAGGTCCCTGCTTTGCAGGTTTTCAAGGCTTACACTTAGAAGTTTTTTTTTGGTTTTTTTTTTTACACTTATGGCTTTTTCAGCAGTGGAGGTTATTGCCATCCAGTGTTTTCCATCTGCTGTGACTCATTTGGGCTCACACAGAAGTGATTAGAAAATCACGGGACTCCAGGAGCTACAGCTTTAAGGAAAAGCACAACGAATTACAGCTTCTGCAGGAAAAATAAGAGTTGGCAGAGAACAGCTACAAAGGCTGCTGTAAGGAACCAGCCTGAGGAAACGCACCCACCCCAAAACTGTCTTCACTGTTGAAATACTTGCTTTCTCTTCCTTCATTATCCAAAGCAAAAAGGAAGGCAGTAATTATTGAGGAAGAAGGTTAAAAACCAAAGAGTTTTGACTGGAAACAAAAGCCCAAGTGAGCTGTCCTCAAAACTTTGGATGAGCTAAGAGTTGATGTGTAGGAAAAAGAGAAGGAATAGAACAGGAAGATCATACAGTTTAATACCCTAATAAACAGCCTGAGAAGTCAGGCAGGGATTGCTGCTTTCCTGCTCACTGGATTCCATGCTATTGCAAGGTTTATAGATCTTTTTTTGGGTCACAAAAAGCATCGGGCAGCACCTCCTCACGTGTGATCTCAGCTCAGCTGCACACTCACAGCTCAGGACTTTTAAGCCAGGCTGTGGATTTCAGTGAATTTGCAGCAGCAGCCAATTACTGTGGCCAAAAGTGGCACGGGTTGGGATTAATCAAAGTCACAAGGCCACAGGGGGGAAGTGGCAAGTGCAGCCACTGTGGCTTCCACCACGAGGTTTTTCTTCATACCAGTGGATACAACCCACACCCAGAGTCGTGGGCATCTGAATAGCTGCCCTCTGCCCTCTGCTACAAAAGGGTAAAAATACAGCCAGAGACTCAATCTCTTTCTTCCACTGTCCCAGCCAAGTCTGGGATTTTTTAACAGTTTGGAGCAAGTTGCCCAGTGTGGTGTTCATCCCTTCCTCACTCCAAGTTTGATGTGCATCCCACAGCAAACTTCCCGAGCCTCTTCTAGGGTTTCTTCACCTTCCAATTTCATAAAGCAAAAGCATGTTTCAGTCCAGGGAAGAAAACCACCAGGATTGTGGCACAAGGAGGGCAAACAGCTATGATTCAATGCCTTTGGATTTCACAAGAGGACTCCCTGGAGCAATCTCCTTTCCTGTGTCCTTCCCACTGTTCACCCAACAGCAGCTGGGCAAACACTGGAACATCTCCTCAAAAGAGCAAGCACAGGCAAAAGAGATGCTTTATGAATTCCATGGGCAGTGCTGACTAATGAAGTATTGGCAGCCTGGTCTTCCATGGCAATCACAGTGGCAGCCTGCAGCCTGGTTTTCCATGGCAGTCACAGTTTCCATGATTATCACCTCATATGTGTCTTTACACTTGCTCTTCACAGAAAAATAAATAAATAAATGAATAAAGGCTTATTTTCGCCCTCAGTTTGTTAATCCCAGCCTTAAGCAAGTCAGCAAAGGGTACCCACACAAGCTCAGCTACTGCCAGGAAATAGCTGGAGCAAAACTCACCGTTCTGCTGAGCTTTGTTTGCCATGGTGAAAATAAAACCCTCCTTATCCTTCCCCAGGGAAGGGCAGAGAGGCGTAGGAGTCAGCATTCAGCCTTGGGCACTGCAACCCAGTCAGCTGCAGAACAAAAGCATGGCTGAGCCCATGGAAGAGAGGGGAGGAAAAAAAGGCAAAACCCCACTCTGTCTAGAGCAGTAAATGGTATTCCTGGCTTAACACACTGGGTCACACCCAGCACTTGTGGAAGGACAGGGAGAAAAACCAACCCAAGGCACCCACCACAACCCTGCTGAAAAATAACCATCTCCATATCCTCACTGCAACTCCCTTTTAAAACTTATCCAGCAGCTGCTTCCCCTCAGGTTGTAATTCTCATGTTCAGCTGCAGCTGGTCTCTCTCTGTGTTCCTTTAGTGTTCTGTCCTTGCTAGCCGATCTGCAAATGAGACTTAATTAACCCCATGAGATTTGGAAACTGGTTTTTCCATAAAAATGGGGATTATCAGGTTTGAGCTGCTCCTGTTTCACAGGGAAGCTTAGAAAGCAAACAGGTGTCTATGACAGGAACAGGAAGATACATGGAATTTGTAGTGATTTCTAGTAAAAGTGTCTGGGTTTCCCAGCTTGTCCTGAGCAGGTGTTCCAGTGGCAGCCTCCTGCTGGCAGCAGTGGTTCCTCCTACAGTGATCACACAAAGCAGGAGATCTTGGTGGGCCTCATCCTGCTCCCTCCCTGAGACCCCTGGGTTTTATGGCAGGAGGGTCCTGCCCTGTGTCACGCACTGTTCTCTCATCCCACAACACCCCTTTCAAATGACACCCACCACAACTAGAGCAGCTGAGGTGGAGAAGCAAGTTCCATCCTTCCAGGCTGCCAGGATGCAGCAGTGTCATTTCCTGGAGGTGGACCTTGCAGAGGTCCAGCTGTGGGGCTTGGCTGACCCTCTGGACATCCCAGTGAACTCCCCAGGTTTCTGGGCAGATACTGGTTCTCTGTCCCTTATCTGCTCCAGTGCTTTTGTTTCAGATCCTTTTTTTGGAAAGGCACTTCTCTGTTATGAGCAAGGCTCCAAAGGTCCTGGTGTCCTCATTGTGTGTAAAGCAGAGAGGACTTGGTTATCACCCAGCCAGTAAGGTCTCCAGGCAGAGATGTTATCTCCCCTTTGCAAGCAGAACCAGGCCAGAGGTGACTTTAGGGATCGTCAGGAGCCACCTCAGTGTGCTGCTCACAGTGGGACTGTTGTGCTCCAAGGGGCTTCCCTGCCACCCATCACCCCCACGTGCTCCTGCTGCTTCCCTGCCCAGGGACAGACTGACCCTGAGCAGGCCTGCTCAGCTCCTCATCCAGCCACAGCAGGAGGATCAGGGAGATCCAACTCTACACTCCCCCTGCAAAGGAGAGGCAATAAAAGATAAGATTACAGGCTCACTTTACCGCAGGTCTCACAAAGGGAGGGAGAGGGAGCAAGTGTCAGGGACAGAAAGATAGCACAGATGATCCTTCCCCTGCATTAGGTGGATTTAAGTGGATTAGGTGGATTCCACCCCATGGAATGGAAGGGCAACAAAAAT